GTTTTTTATTTTTGCTTTTTGTTTATTACTATATTACTATTTTACTCCTACTACTACTACTATTTTTATGCGGCACTACTATTTTAATATATCTCTTTAAAATCGTAAAAAAATTATATTTATATATAGTAGCTAATTATCAATTCCATATAATTCTTCTTCTTTACTTTTTATTTCAAACTGAAATTGGTGCAAAAAAGTACCCTTTGTTCATAGGAATAGTAGTAGTTGATAGTAGTAGGTAATAGTAGTATTTTCATGAACACCACTGTATTTGAGGAGATTCAAGAATTTTTTTTCTATGAATAGCATATTTCATGTAATTACTATACTACCCAAAGAAAGAGTATGTCGAGTTAAGTAGCTTTTCATATCTTCCTACTATAAATACATAAGTAGTATAAATCATAATAACACTTAGTCAGCAGATAATAATTATGCGGCCATAGGCAAGAGGTAAATTAACTTACAGTATTACGACGTATAGATATTAGATTTCAGAACTGCCGAAAATGACGGAGCAATTAGAGTGCCCAATCAGCTCCCTGAACTCCCCACAGCCAAAGAGAGCAGCAAAATAAATATTTCTTCTACTTTTACAGAGCATTTTCCCCGGCTGGGTGTCCACGGAGATAGTGCCAGACGAAACTAAAGCCCAGCTGGGCGACGTCATCCTGCAGGCCGACGATGTGGCTCAGGCGATGCTCTATGCGCTCTCAACTCCGCCGCATACTCAGGTGCAGGAGATAACGCTGCGTGCGGTTGGCGAATGGTACTGATAGCGCTTATCAGCTGATATGAAGTGTGCACGTGCTTGAAGTTCTTGTTGTTGTTGTTCTTGGTGTTGCTGGTGTTGCTTAGGCTATGTAATCAACACCTAATAACAATCAAATGAACTTGACAACTCAATGCACAAACACACACACACACACACACTCAGACACATAAATACACACAAATAAATACACACACACACACTCGTACAGCTTGTTTGTTTGTTTGTGTGCCTTGGGCCTGACTTGTTTGCGTAGCAGTTGGGGGGGCCATTGGGCGGGGCACATTTCATTTTTATTGTAATTGTTATGATTATTGTTGTTGATGTTATTATTGGCCGTTAGAGTTTAACAACAACAGCGTCAAATAAATAATTCAGTTTCATACATTAATAACGGACTGTAGAACAGTTATTGCAACCACAGAGCCACTCAACAGTGGCCCAAACACCGACACCAATCACCACGCCCCACGCACCTTGCGGCTAGTCATTTTTAATACGCGACCAATCGATACTTCAATTAGCCAGCCCAAGAGCTATAATATTGACTTGTTAGCAGCACATGTTAAATATTCAGAATGGCTCTCCCTGAATAATTGATACCCTGCACCCACCCAGCGCGTGTCCTTCAGCTAACTGGCAAACTAGCACTTTAACGAATTCATTAGAACATTCCCGTTCTCTCTCTGAGTAAACTTCAAGTTTTTTGTCTAATATTTGGCAGAGTAATAATACAGTTGGCTGCCGAGCAAAGAAACTGTCAACACAACACTAATGAACAAAGAGCAAAGCTCCGTTTGCTAAGGTCTCTTGGCCCATGCTCCTACTTAATGTGCAGTGTTTGCTTTGTACAGGTGATAGTTTCCAGAAGTTGCTGATTGAGGGTGAGAATTTCATGTAAACTGTATCTATTTTATTTGTGATTTATTTCTCAGAATTTCTCGCCCACTGCGTATACTTAATATTGTTGATTGTAGCTGAATAGAACATGTAATAATGTAAAAAGGGTTGCATAAGCGGCAAAAGCAAAGAATCAATCTCGGAAATCTTCAGGTAGGTATTATCTGTCAATTGAATCAACGTTCTATGCACTGCGCTGTGCTTCAATAAGTTAATTAACTAATCTATGGCTGCTGCTGTCTAATGCCTTTAATTCCAATTCAATAGAGCTGATTAAGAGAGTCGAAATGCGCTTAGAAACGACTCAGTCGATTTGGAGCCACATGAGGAGCTTCCTAACGGCAGATCTCAACACGATTTGCTACTCAGTCAGGCCTTGAGCTCTGTTAAAAAACAACACACACTCACACACACACACTCACACACGTTAAAAATGTTGTTTAATTAACGAAATTGCAACATTAGCAGCACAAAGTTCAGATCTTAACTCTGCCACTCCGATTCCAGTGCACACGTTTTGCCAGAGGTTTATTTTGCGTGTAAAGCGCTGTCGGACAATCCAGCACAACTCGCTGTTGCTTTTCCCCCATGTTTTCTTTATTTTCCTATTTTTTTTTTTTTTTTGGCGTATTTTCTTTTCCCCTCTTTGTCAGCTTTTGCTCGGTTGCCATACAAATTCTTTGGCTACAGCGGAAAACGCAAACTTTTTTCAAACCTTTTAATGACAGCGCATAGCAATCCTTTTTTTTTTTTTTTTTGCGCTGCGTTGCTACTCGTAACACCCACATGAGCAGCCCTTGCCAGTGTGCGTGTGTGTGTCTGTGTGTGCGTGCATGTGTGTGTGGTTGATAGGTTCAGGCAGTGTGGTTGGGGCAGAGCGAGCACACACTGCCTACAACTTGGCAGCTGCGTTGTTTTAAGCCCCATGAGGCAGCTGTTTGTCTGCCCGACCGCTCGGCCCGGCCCCAGCTCCTGCCTCTCACTTCCTGCTGCCAGCGCTGCCAGCGCTGCTGCTGTCTATGCGCTTGTCAGGCACCCAGTTAGACAAGTTTTGTCAGCCGCAGCTTTGCACTTCACTTCACTTATTTCCGGCATTTTGTTTTAATTAAATTTATGACAAATGTCATATAGGACAAACTTTTCGCAACAACAACAAAAGCAACAACAAAGCAGCGCAGCACCAACAGAAAATAACAAAAAAAAAAAATTGCATTCAACACTTTGAGCTGAGCATGAGGCAGCCGCTTTAAGCAAATATTGAACACTCACACACACACTCACACACACACACACACATATGCAGCTCATAAGTCATCTCTAAGTTTTGAGTTCAAGTTTTTGCACCGCCTAACTTCAAATTAATATTCAGGCTTAAAGACTTTAGTCTAGTTTACTACGACTACAAATTTGAAGAAACTTTTAAAATTTACGAGAAAATTGCCAATAAAGGGAAAAGGCCAAAGTTTTCATTGAATTTCAGATTAATTACTGCAGCTAAAATCTAGATCCATCCTAGGTTTCATTCGATATTATTTATGCCATGAATATTTTATTTTTCCACAACGAAATTGAGAACTCGAGACAAAAGTTTCTTTCACAAGTCTCGGCATTAGCCAATTAGAATTTATTACAACACTTCTAGGCAATAAATTATAAATTATGTGAATTAAGCATTTGGGTAACACATGGCCTAATGTAGCCTGTGCAGCGCTTGGCTTTTGGAAACTCATTTAGCAAAAATATAACTGGCTGGGCATATACAGAATATATGTATTTAAATAATAAATACTTTTTTGAGTTTGTTGAGCTTAAGAATTAGACATAAAAATAAAATAAAAGCCTGTACAAACGTTGCTGTCGGGCTTTACCAACTGCAGAATACTCATTCACGGCTGAAATGCTGTTCGATATATTTTCAGAATGGCCACGCCCCGAATGGGCATAGATATATACATCACACGCTATTGGCTTACATACATAAGATTACACAAAATCCATATGCTCTTGTCACACTCGAGAATGAGTATAATTTATGTTGAATTTGCGTTAATATTCATGCAAATTTTTGTGCAATTTTCACTCCATTTATGAGCTCAAAAGTAAAATCAGAAAAATCTGGGGAAATCATACGCAATTCATATACGGAAACTCGTTTATATGATTTAAGATAGAAGAAGACATTGTGTTTAGCATCATATACGTCACATACAACATTGTTTTCTACGTTTACTTTAGCTAGGCACTGGCCTAGCTAGGCGGTGACCTTTGTCCAGGACATTGTTTGGCTTATGGCCCGGCCCCTATGCATGTGGTCAAACGTTGTCTGCAGCCTCGGGCTGCACACAAAATCCAGTGGATAATTTTGTATAGTTTGTGCACCAAAATTTCAATGGGTGTGGGTGTGTGTGTTAGTATGGGTGCAGATGTGTGGTTTGTTGGCTCGCTTTAGGCCTGTACAAAGGCATTTTTAAGCAATTTAGGCGGCTGTTCGAGCTGACCTGCTGCTGGTCCCGCTCGTTGTAGTTGTTGCTGTAGTTATTCACTTATATTTAGTGCTCCTGGTATCGACATCTAGCTACCGAATGACAACAGAGCATACACACAAGAGCACCCACACACACATGCACACACGTGCACAAACATACATATATTGCATAAAATGTGCTTTGATAGAGCGGCCAATCGAGAGGGAACAGTGGCCATGCACTTGATGGCAATGCAAACAGAATTTAAAAAAAAAAAAAAAAAAAAAAAAAACTACTTAAATAAATAATAAAACGAAAATAAAATTTTCTGTCGTTTTCGTATACCAAAAACAGGAGATATTGAAAATACACAAGCCGACTTTAAAGTTGCCCTAACAAAAGTTCGATTTGCTCAATTCAAAGTACGCTTTGAATAAAAAGCTCGCACAACTGAAAGCTCGATTCAATTATATCCTTGGAGCACTTGCCAAATGGCATTAGCTGCCGCCTGATTGCCCCGAGCTGAATAATGTTTGACTTGAGCACTTAGCTGTTATCTAAGAATGGTCTCTGGAGCATCTTTCTGCTGGTTATCAGCCACAGCGATGCAGTAGGGTATGCAATTGCTTTGTAAGCTCAAAAAAATAATATAAAAAAATGAAAAAATTTGTTTACCAACTTAATATGCTTTTAGCACACTACATGCCAGCAGGAGCGGGAGCAGGAGCAGGAGCCGGAGCAACAGCAGCAGCGGAAGCAACCGAGAGCCCAGGCTCGCTGAGCTCTGTGGTTTGCCTGAAGAAGATGTATATGTATATGTATATATATGCATAGGCACTTTCCATAGGGGCTTTGCTTAAGCAATGAGCACTTGACTGATTAGATATGGGAATTTTTGAATGCGCTACTTTTGACTTGAGTCGCAGCGTCTTTGGCAACATTTGGCTCGAGGGACTCGGTAGTTGGCAGAAAATTTGCTAAAATATACACAACACATATAGCATGCGATATTTGATATATGTATATATTTGACCACAGAGCAGCCCTTGAATGTCTCTGCGAATGTCAATTTAATATAATTGCCCAATTACCAGCTGCCTTAGAAATTCCAGATATTTTCGCTGAATTTAATATGCTGCAAATTATGTCGGTCAATTTCGAATAATGTCAAGTGGCAGGACGGCTAGTTACGCTGCTATAGATGAAATGCCTCTATATTTATCTTTAGCCTAAAATAATTATATATTAAAGGATAAACACTTCTCACATACCTCTCGTGCGCTTCAAAGAGATTTCTATTTAGAATCCACTTCCAAAGGGTCACATCGTCATCACTCAGAGTTTTGCGAAGCATTTTGCACTTTCTATTCAGCTTATTAATAGCCTAATTAAGTGGCAGCCAGACTCATAATGAGCTAATATATATACATACACATTTAGCTACTTTACTAATTGCTCGTTCATTAAAATTTTGTAACTTCAAATAGCATAAACGTCTATATATGTATGTATGTATGTATGTATGACTAGCCTGCTATAAGCTTGGTGTGAGCTGCGCTGCCTGCTGTTTGGTCAGAGTTTCAACTGCAACGCACGATTGTAAAGAAATTTCATTTCGAAAAGCAAACAAAGTGTGAGAGAGAGGGAGGGGGAGAGGGAGAGAGAGAAGCAGCAGATTTGCCTGCTGTCAACGTGCTCAAATATTATGAAATACAATCAAATTGGAGACAAATATGCATGCAGTGCACACATGAGCATCGCTGCAGATGGAATTTCGTTGGAAAAACATTTGACGAATTGTCCAACATTGTCGACAATGTTTGCTCAACATTTACAT